CGGTCGCGAGCCGTCCAGTCAGCGACTGTTCCACCCACCTGTTCGCGCTCCAAACTCCGAGTCGAAGTGGTTTCTGAGGAGTTCGCTCAAATCACCACGTCTGGCAATCAACGTGATCCACTCCGGTGCTCATCCACCACTCTTTCTCTCTCCTCTCGCGCCCACAGATCACCGCTCTTTCCGCCCTCTCGCGCGCGGCGCCCACCCGCTCGGCGGTCGACTGGAGACTGCGTCGCCGCAGCGACGCTAGCACCGCCGGCGGCCGTGACGGTTAGTTCTGCCGGCCGCCGCCAGAGGCGTCACCATCGCCGGCTGACTCACGGGGTGTGTGACGTCACTCAGAGGCGGTAGCAGGCAGCGAGAGCGAGAGGTCACGGCGAGACGCGAGTGGCTTTTAACCCGCGCCCGGCTGGGGGTCCTGGATTTCCACGCCCTGCTGGGGGGGGGTGTTTGAACACCCCCCTTCTAACTCGGCTCCTGGGCCACGTAGCGATACGCGGAAGGCGGCGTTCGAAAGAGCGTCAAAAATAATGAGGAAATCACTTCGGTCAATTTTTTGGTCAGGTCAAAGGTCAGGTCACCAGAGGCCATTGAAGGCAAAATTTCGCCGATTTCCAGGTCGAATGTCGACAATTTCCAAGAAGCCAGCGCATAACTCGGGAACCAATAGAGCTACAGCGCCGCGGAAAAGCGCATTCGATAGCCCTATTAACGCTCTTTCTGAGTAATTCTCTCAGATTTGACCTAACGTCAACGGTTTTGCCTGCAGGGGGCAAAAACTGCAAAAATAGCCGGTTTTTTCGGAAACAGTTTTTCTGCAATAACTTTTGACCCAAGCCTTGTACGAGCTTACTTTTACCAGCATCGTGTTCCTCTCGTCAAGACGCATCGAATGAACTATAACTTGACCTTGAAAGGTCAACTTGAAAATTTGACCTCAGGTCAAGGTCATGACCTGACCGGAAAGGGTCATGTTGCATATCAGTCGATCCGTATCGTCGAGCTGAACACATCTAAGGCGTTTTCATCGCTCTAGCATGCCTCTATCAACAGTTATTTGCGAAAAACTGTTAGATACCATTCGTGACCTAAGATGACCTCAGGGCATAAACAGGGGTCACGGACACCATTTCCATGTTCAGTGTGTCTAAACCACTTGTAATTCAGTGTTTGGGAGTGTTTATAATGTCTTTCGTCCAAAAGAGGCGCATTTCAATTTTCTCCCATTGACTTATAATGGGGAGGTCGCAAAATTGACCTGACCTTAGGTCATCGATATCAAAATTCTGAGATATACATTTTGTACATGCTATTGCTCTTAGCAATCGCTGAAAGTTTCAAAGCGATCGGTCACTCGGTGTAGCCATGACAGACATTGAAACTTTTTATGAGGTGAGGTCACTTCAAGTGACCTGGTGACCTGACCTTGAATGACCTTGGTCTGAAATTTTCACAACATGTGTAGAATTGATGTATGATAAGGTGTACCAAAAACGGCGGCGCTCCGCGCCGCCGTTTTTGAGATATTCGCGAAAAACCACAAGGGGGGGTGTTCAAACACCCCCCCAGCAGGGCGCGGGTTAAACAGCGGCGGAGTCAGGAATAGCTGATGGGGGAGGATGGGAGCGGCAGTACCGGACAGCGGCGTGAAAGAAAGGATATAGTCACCAGACAAGTGGGCATGACAGACGAAAGTCTCCGTAGTACTAGATTGTTACATCTTTACCTCGTGGCTCGTGCTGATTTTGAAGCGGACAGTACCAAAAATAGAGTGAAAAGCAACGAAAGTGCGAACTGCTAGCAGAGACCCTATGATCTAATTCCCAACGGACGAAACTGAAAGCGCAACACGTCTACGTCCTCCGCATTGCAGAAGGCAACTTATGGTCGCATTCGCAGGTCACAGCGGTGACCCCTGGGTGGGAGGCATGCCCTGACCTTTGACCTGGCACGGCTCACGCGTTAACCCCAGCTACCTAAGGCAGTGATAACGGCCGGCGGTACGACCGTCCACGAATTAACACTCATCACCCGGCTTGATGGTGTTCCAGTGTATCTATGTGTGAGCTGGCTTCACCAAGGTCTCGCTCTCTGACCGGAAGAGAACGTTTTGTTCAGGAGTATGACGCATGCTCCCAGTGGGGCTAGAGTGGGGCTAGGTTCTGGCATGCAAGCGGCTAAACCAAACGATCATATAAACTGCTTGTAGATTGCAGGGGGCAACGCAACGCTGCACATGAATGAACCCTCCTATCCCAGGCCATACTCGATTCCAAATATTGTCTCAGGCGCTAAATATTAGTGCTTTGCAAAGGTTGTTGACACACCTTCCTCACCAGTCACCAGCAAAATATACAGAACACTTCCAAGCAGTAGCAATATAGGGCCCCGTCTTCCGAAACTACAAGTCTAGCCCTGTCGGAATATATGTTTCTATCTCAGCCCAGCCCGGACTGGCCGGCCGACCCGGCTTCTATCAAGGACCGTTTATAGTTATGTCACTTGTCCCAGCCTCGGTCTGGACAAAGTCGAGCTATACCGAATGTTCAGGGTCAGAGAGCATATACAGTCGGGTCCGCGCAGATCAGGAAGGTCAGATGGTGAAATGACCACAAGGCTGGGGCAATGTCCAGACCAAATTATATGCATCAACTGTAACTCGAGCCCAGTCGTGAGACTGCGAGGAATGCGACGGAAACGCTTGGACGTCAATTCTAAAGGCTTTAACCCGCGCCCAAGTGTGTGTGTGTGGGGGGGTTGAATACCCCCCCCCCCTGCGGTTTTTCGCAGATATCTCAAAAACGGCGTCGCGGAGCGCCGCCGTTTTTGGTACACCTTATCATACATCAATTCTACACATGTGAAAATTTCAGACCAAGGTCATTCAAGGTCATGCCGGTCCCGTAGCTCAGTTGGTAGAGCGTTTGACTCCGCGTGGTGAGAGCACGCGTCCCCGGTTACAACAGTCCGGGTTCGAAGCGCGACGGGCGCTTGACATTTATGGGCCTCCTGACAGGTATGGTTGCGGTTGGTGGCAGGTCGTAGCCAGGTGAAGTCAGTGAGGGGACCGGCCGTGCGCGGCTATGTGCGCACGTTAAACTTTGGACTCCAAATTCTGCCATAGAACTGGAATTGCGCGATCGGAGGGTAGAGGGCAGGGTCACCGCAACAAGCTTCGCTTAGCGGTGGCTCTGTCCTTGTGAATCCTTCCCATCAAAAGATTCGGACTAAATTTATAAAAAAGGTCAGGTCACCAGGTCACTTGAAGTGACCTCACCTCATAAAAAGTTTCAATGTCTGCCATAGCTACACCGAGTGACCGATCACTTTGAAACTTTCAGCGATTGATGAGGGTAACAGTATCTATGAAATGTATATCTCGGAATTTTGATATCGGTGACCTAAGGTCAGGTCAATTTTGCGGCCTCTCCATTATAAGTCAATGGGAGAAAATTGAAAAGCGTCTGTTTTGCACGAACGCTATTCTAGACACTCTCAAACATCGAGATGCAGGTAAAATTGACACACTGAACCGGAAAATGGCAACTGTGACCCCTCGTTATGTCCCCGAGGTCATCTCAGGTCACGAACAGAATCTAACAGTTTTTCGCTGATAACTTCTGATAGAGGCGTGCTAGAGCGCTGAAAACGCCTTAGTTGAGTTCGGCTCGACGTTGCGGATCGACTGATATGCAACGTGATCTTTTCCGGTTAGGTCATGACCTTGACCTGAGGTCAAATTTTCAAGTTGACCTTTCAAGGTCAACTTATAGTTCATTCGACGCGTCTCGACGAGAGGAACACGATGCTGGCAAAAATAATGTCATGGCTCTGTTGAGTCAAAAGCTATCGCCGAAAAACCGATTTTCGTAAAAACGGCTATTTTTAGAGTTTTTGCCCTCTGGAGGCTAAACCGTTGACCTGAGGTCAAATCTGAGACCATTGCTCAGAAAGGTCTGTAAAAGGGCTATCGAATGCGCTTTTCCGCGGCGCTGTAGCTCTTTCGGTTCCCGAGATAGCCGTTGGCAGTTTCCAAAATGTTGAAATAGTCAACATTTTACCTTTGGTGACCTCTGGTGGCCTGACCTTTGACCTGACCCAAAAAATGACCGAAGTGTTTTCGTCCTTATTTTTGACGTTCTTTCGATTGCCGCTTACCGCGTGTCGCTACGTGGCCCAGGAGCCGAGTTAGAAGGGGGGGGGGTGTTCAAACACCCCCCACACCAGGTCGTGGAAAATCCAGACTGACACTGGGGCGCGGGTTAATATCACCGGAGAAAAGAGCATTCAGCACAAAACATGACATTGATGAATGGCAAAATGAGATTATTTGCCTGGCATTACAGTCCCTTAGGCCACAACTTAGATGTCATGTCGTCGCAATCCCTACTAAACAAGAACAACGCTCAATTTTGGGTTTCAAGTATTCTATCTAGATTCCGGATATTATTCATGAGGAGCATCAACTATCAAATTTAGATTTGGGCAGATTGTGTCGTTTCTAAAACAACACGACCACTTCTATAACGAATACCACCACTACACTAGACTGGCTGGACGCCTGTCCCTGGCCGCATCACCGACACCGGCGGCGTCACAGGCCGCGTCACGCCGCCCACCGCGTCACGGCGGCGTGACGGTCCGTGTGACGGCGTCACCGTGACGGGTCGGCGCCGCGGAGCCGTTACCATGGCTCCCGTCACGTCCCGCGAGGTCAGCAACGACAGACCAGCCAGCGCGGCGGCGAGGGAATGCGACGGGCCTACCCCAGAAAGAATAACTTTCAATAGTAGACAAAACGCTTTATAGAAAATGTTTTGACGGTTGCTGCTACCTGAAACTGCAGGATGAACTCAAGGAGGCTGTCATTGAGTTGACATTGGAGAGAACAGGCAAAAGCAATCATCCGCCGGGTAATAGGGCTCTGGAATAAATGTTTATCATAAGACATGCATGCGGTAAATATTAAAAAAAAAATGGAGTCAAAATCACCGACTCACCTGTGCGTGCGTCGTTAGAAGAGGTTGACGGTGAAAGCAGACCGCCGAGATTCAGTGTGGTAGCTCCAAAGACGTCACATGAGCGGTGCGGACGTATGAGCAGACGTCACATCAGACTTGGCGATCAGGAAGTCTTTCAGAGGCTTCGCTTCAGAGATGCGGAAAGACGTCTAGTTCAGAGATGAGACGTGACGTTCAAAGACGTGGCAGTGCAGAAATTTGTCAGGACATTCGGATAAATCACGAATGGAGACCGTTTGTCTCCAGTCCGGCGTCTGAAACAATGGAGAGCAACTGGTTGGAAGACGGGTACTTTCTAGGCATCGTTCCCAGCCGTAAAGATAGCTACGAGGATGTGGTTTCCACATGATATATTCAATGTCACTCATAAAGATCGCAGGGAGCTTGTTACTCTGAAATATAAAGGTGACTGAGCCAAAGCGCCATTATTGCTCTCTGCGTGTTATATATCAGTGAGCATGCATGAAACTGAAACCATGCGCCCGTATTTATTTCTCGTAGCAAGCGACACATGCCCTAAGACAAAAGTGTTTTTTTTTTAGCCCGGCAGGTACTTAAATTCGATCACTTTTCGCCACACTCAGTCGTTATGAAGCGTAACAGCTCAGTCCCAACCTGCCACGCACAGCTTGCGACCCAAACACCTGCAACGACAGCATAAAACCAGGCAGCTCGAGGGCCACCAGTGCAGCATGCCCTAGCAGCGGCGGCGGCCCAGCCCGCGACCGACCGGCCGGTTTTCGTCTGTGCATGACTTTCGGAGCGGGAAATTGCCTGCGCTGCCCGCGTTGGGTGTCCAGTTTTCCTCACTAGCATTCCTCTCCAGGCTGCCCGACGTTTGGTGACGCTGAAACCAAGGTCAGGCTCGGATTGATATATGTGTGAGGTTAGGTGAGTCGGTGGACCGTTCTAGAGGGCGCATGACTTGGAGACAAGCCCAACGACAAGGTAGTTAGTGGGGGAGAGCGTTGGGCAGCCGGCGTGGTTGCTAGCTTCGCAGACAATGGAGGTAAGAGCAGCGAGATAGTTTATGAATGTGAATACATCTCACTTTCGTTTTCACGCATATGCAAACGAGCCTCAACATCAAAACTGGGTTTCATCGCCTGTTTCTACGCTTTCACGCTCGATTTTTCGATAAAATGGCATGCCAAAAATACACAGCAAAAGAAGGACCAGATTCCACACCAACGTAACCAACCGTAAAAAATGAAAGAGGTTTATCCTAGCAAACCACTGCAGCCTTGTCCACCCATGCAAAGCTACTCTTAAATTTAAACTGAGCGCCGCAGTTGCTATGCTTTAGGCAACCCCTACCGGGAGCTCTGCGTTCTCTGACTTTGCAGTCTTGTGTTCTCCGATAAGCATCGCATCAAGGGTGGTCCGACAATACCTCCCAGCTGGCACCGTGTATTTGTGGACAGGGCGGTGCGACAATGGTAGGGTGCGTCCACGCAGTGTGACCATCTCGTCACGGGGTGTCCCCGTTCGGACACGCAGAGGACACGGGCACGGTCACGGACACGCAGAGGACATAGGGTCGGAAATATAGAGGGCACAGATGTGGTATCGGACACACAGAGGACACAGACACGGTCTCGGACAAACAGAGGACACAGGCTCGGCCTATGATTAGTAGGACACGTAGAGGAAGACGAAGGAGTTGAGACCTAGAGATCGTGGGAGCTACCCAACAATAGCAAAAAGGTTGCTCCTTTTGGGGCAAGATTCACGAACAGAACACCGAGTCTGACAAACAATGCCGCACTATGCACTTGCCGGCTAGATGAGATCGGAATAATTTCACTCCGGTGTTGACACTGCTTTATCTACGAATGCACCAACCAGAACTGGATTTTTTTACTTTTCATTTCATATGGAACTTTCCAGCTCCAGCGAAAACAGCATTATCATGGATTAGTTAAGCGTAGAGGAAGGAAGCTCGAACAAGAAACACATATCTTTTATCTTATCTTTCTCATCGAACCCCAATGGTAATCCAGTGAAGCATGAAGGGTACAACAGGGGATATAGTATATTACACGGTGGATAATACTCATTACATAATAATAATACCTTGTAATCGGTCAAATATCCCCGAGAAGGCCGAGATACGGCTGACACAGAAACCCAATGAAGCGCGACAATAACATACCAAACAGATAACAGCCACTGCATAGTGGCTAACGATTACCATCATCTTCATCACTCAACGATAATAATCGTTACATCAATCATCATCAGTCACTAAACCCGCAGCAAGCGATACCCCTGGCCGTCTTTACTCTTATCTTACACAACTTACTGACCTAGGCCACGCCTTTTCATCCGTAACGTATCTGTCCAATCACATAATACGCCTTGTCGATATTTGAGTGTCATGATGAATCAGACAATCGCATAATCTTTTGGACACTCACATCGCTCTAAGATCACTAGACCTAATGCCCAGCAGGCCACTCAGACAACACGGCTTGTCGCACCCAATGAACTGGTCATATCAACTGACCCGTCCACTGCACCTGCAGTGCCCCAGTGACCCAGAACAACTGACCCGGACCCCTCTGGGTCAAGGCGAACGGTGCGCCACCCCAACCAGTTCTCTGATCGGTCTAAGAGAGATCGTGCCGGTCCCTGGGTCAGTGAGGGATCATCGTGACACAGCTAGACAGTGGGTGCTTCAGAGGGTGAAGATAAGGCGTGACGGGCGAGCAAAATACATGGGCCGGCACTCGGCAAACCAATGACAAGCTAGCAGGACATAGGCGAGAGAGAGAGAGAGAGAGAGAGAGAGAGAGAGAGAGAGAGAGAGAGAGAGAGAGAGAGAGAGAGAGAGGGAGAGAGAGAGAGAGAGAGAGAGAGAGAGAGAGAGAGAGAGAGAGAGAGAGAGAGAGAGAGAGAGAGAGAGAGAGAGAGAGAGAGAGAGAGAGGCTCAGTCCGCCACGGACAGAGCAGCCACTCCAGAGTCGCACTTAATCTCGTTAGACTTGACCTTTCCATCTGAGTGGCTTCGGTCAATTTAAAAGCCGAAGCTCTTGAATCGAGTCTTTGTCTCAGTCGACCGCAGTTCACTTCACATCCCTTCGTCGTTACGTAAGGACCTCAATCAATGCCTTGGGACTGGAATTTAAAAGTCTTCCCCTCCCCCAGTCACCTGCACCTGACCTTGACGGAGGCCTGTGACGGCGACGCGCGGGGATCTGATTCTGACCTTTGTCCTGAGCTGACTTAGGCTGGGCATAACGGCAGGACGGGGTAGGGTGGAACTAGAAAAATGCGTGGAGTCGCTGATGTCAACTCGCTCTCATACTGAATTCGGCAAATGACGTTCAAATGAAAGCAAGCGTGTTGAAATGGAAGCAAATGCCTACGTGTGAGAAACTGGCCGAGGGTAAGTTTACCATTTGTACCTTCCGTTCCTATACATACATGTCAAAAAATCCATCGGTGCGATGCCTTTAATCATAAGCGACTGTTTCTTTTCTCTGTTCCATGTAAAATGGACCGTGGTGTGGACTGCGTCCATACCATAAATGCCCCTCCACATGACACCATAACACCCCCGCGCCGTATGCTTTGGGGCGGGGCAGCCGCGGCGGTCGGGACCGAGGGGAGAGGGTGGGAGGCAGGGGAGAGGGAGGGAGGGGGAGCCATCAGAGCGGGGCGTGCCCCAGTGCCACCGGAAGCGGCCCGACCCGAATGTGGGGGAGGGGGGCGTGTCCGTCAGGTGACTCACACATAGCTATCTACCAGCGAACGAGCAGTAAGCGCAATGGGATAGGCGCTACAGTACACAGTGCAATACGAATTGACCTGTGAACAAAATCCCTTTCATACGACGGACTAATACAGGGTTTGAAGCTTGAAAATGGACGGAGTTTGAACTTTGAAAGGCGCTGGAAGTGGTTGGGCGAGGTACGAGTAGTTGTATGCAATGGTCCCCTGCCCTTCGTGCCGTCATCAGATACCAACATCACCATCATATAAACCATGACGTGGTGGCAGAAACGGTGCAGACCCATGTGGGGATAGAAGAGTTGGAAGGTAAATAAACATCCAGTAGGATGTGTAGATTCAGCACCGGTCTGATTTCACCTCGGGTGACAGGATTCAGGCTGCAGCGATATGCGGTGAGTGCCATAGAAAAGCTGTCCCAACCGCCGAACTGGTCCTCATTCAGATACATGAGCAGCGAGCACACGTGACTCGTCATATAGCACCTGACACTGGATCACGTGACCTTCGCCCACCACCGATTCACTGTATTCCTCTCTGACAGTGCAGCTCATGTGTGCACATACACACGCACGTCCCCTCCCCCGCCCCGTCCGCCGCCATCACATCCCGCATCAGGAAGTGAGCCTCGTCCTCCAGCTCGGCTGCCAGATCAGGAAGAGCTGCCAGATCGTTGGATCAGCTGATCGTCTAGTTTCCGGAAAGGACTGATGACCTGCCCAGAGCATGCACCCCGGAAGCAGAACTCAAAACCAACGGTAGTTCACAGAGAAGGTGGACCGAACGGTGGCGTGTTACATAAGTCAGGCTTGTGGCTTTGGGTCTTAGATAAATTTCATGGGTGAGAGCTAAATATGGTCACATGAGGGTGGGAGTAAACGGATTACGTTAGCAGTTACACAGACTCTTCCCGAGGCTTTGTCTCACAAACAAACAAACAAATTAGAGGCAATTTATGTCTAAAACTGTTACGTGTAAAACGCAACCCAAATTAAAAACAGGGCATCATTATTTAATCCTGAACAACACGCACGCTATACGTGGAATCGTGGCATAAGAATTTCGCGGAAATCCAAACCGATTAACCGGTCCCACCGGTTCTGCGAGCACACAAACAACAAACGAGAGCTCTTCTCGGTAATCCCTCCAAAGCCCGGGATATTCCAACCACATACCGTGAACCGGCAGTGGTGCGTGATCCCCTCCTCCCCTGGTATTCCTCTGATGGACCCGCTCTCAGCTATGGGTAGTGGCGGTTTGAACAATAGCTGTTGTTGGTCGTAATACACCATACACGGAGTTGTGGTGTGCAGACGTGATGCCAAGACGGGCAACGTAAGCATGCTGGCGCATAATATTGGCAAGAGAGTGATCCGTGCGAGGGTGAAGAGAGCTCTTGAGAGATTTGAGTTTCGAAGGAGCACCTAACAATATTGCAGTGGCAGTAGCCAGCGGCGTTTTGGTATCACTTCCTCCAGTGCGGTAGCTTCACTCTTAGTTCTTTTCCTGACTCTTAGTT